ACTGGAGATAAATTAAGTGTAGAAGACCTCTGCATGAGACTGAATGAGCTCACCAAGGAAATGAATATAGATAGAAAATAGAAAAAAAGAAGAGGTGCAGGGACACAGGCTCTACAGGGGAACAGATTTCCGCTCCAGGAAGCTGTGGTGGATGGAGGGAAATAAGACAAATACCAGGAAAGTGTCCTGACCAAGAAAGCAAGTGAGGAGGAGGAGGGAGAAACCAGCAGGGTCCAACCTGCTGCTTAGTCACATGAGTTAAGTACAAACACCTCACCAGTACATCTAACAAAGTGAAAGTGACTGGTGACTTTGGGAAGAGCAGTATAGGTGAAAGTGTGTGGCTGACTGTGCATTAGAATAGATTCAGCAGACATGAAGAGGTCAGGAAATGGAGAGAGTTAAGTATCAGCAAGTATTCCAAAGCCTTTTGTCAGGTGAGCAAAGAAATGTGGAGGTGACTACAGGCAGAAACGAGTGGGGAGGGTTTTAAGTTGTGAAAAATACTTATATGTCTGTAGGCTGATGGAAATGATTCTATGTAGAGGGAATATTAATGATTTAAGAGACAGAGAGGAGCATTGTTGGGTCTTGCCCTTGCCCAGGCATGAGGGAGTGGGATGCAGAATACAAATGAGAGGTGAGGGGTGGGAGCACGGACAGCTGACCAGTAACCAGAGAGAGGATGCAGAATAGGGGTGGGGCGGTGGGGAGTGGGAGTTGTGGAAGCTGTCTTGTGATTGTCACTTTTTTCAGTGAAGGAGAAATCGTGGTCATCAGCTGAAAGTGAGGATAGAGAGGGAGGTAGTGTTTAAGGAGAGAGGAGAAGGTGTGAAATAGCTGTCTAGGAGGATGGGACCATGAACAGATGATGAAAATGTAGTACGGTTTTTTGGCAGAATTAAGAGCCCACTTGCATTGTGTTATCATGAATTTAAGATGAGCCTACTCGACACGGCTGTGCACAGCCACATTCTGCTGCGAGTCTCTGAAGGTGGCATCGGGAAGAGTAGCCAAGTGAGTGCCTTAAGGAAGGAGAGGGATGGGGGAGCTGAGAATATAAGGCAAGGGATTTTGAGAATTTGGACATGGCCATTGGAAAGTGGTGAAGAGAGAAGAGGGAATGGGGGAGGGGTGAGAGATCAGATCGGGAAGTTTAATAGATTTGTGGGTCCTGGTAAAAGGCAGTCAAAATAGGGTTCCTAGGGGGAGTAAACCAGAAAGACAGGGAAGAGTAGAAAGAGGTGATAACTGAACTTGGGTTTCAGAGGGTTTGCAATCAACGGTAAGGACAAGAGCTAGACTGGTGGTTCTCCAACTTTTAGTGTGCATATAAATCCCTGAATTTCTTGTTGAGATGCACATTTTGATTCGGTAAGTGTACTTGGGCAGACCTGAGATTCTGCATTTCTGTCAGGCTTCCAGGTGACGTCGATGCTTCTTGTCCAGGGATCTCGTTTGAGAGAAAACTCGCTAGAGTTTTCTCAACCCTAGCAGTAAGTCACAGCCCCTTGAGGAATTTAAAAAATACGGGTGCTGGAACAGTCTTGATGGTGAGTCGGGGTTTCTGTGGGTTAGATTTAATTTCTCTGGATTGGATGTAGAACTAATATATTATGAATGTCCAGAGTAGTCTACAGTGAGGCCAGGATTGAAAGTCTTTGGCCTTTACGTGTGAGTGTCTTAGAGACCAAGATCATGGCAGGAAGGAGGGCTGTGTACTTGAGAGGTCAAAATGTGGAAAGTGTCATGTTTGTCGGGTTATTAAAATCGTTAGAAATTGTGACAGAAAATGTGCTGGATAAAATGACTGTGAGTACGGAGGTCTGTAGATGACTACAAAATAATATAGAAAGTGGGTGACATAATCTGATGACAGGAGATTCAAAGCAAAGCTGTTTGGAGAGAATGGTCTAGAATAGACAGGGCAGAACAAGGAAGACACGTACTGACCCCCAGGCCCAGTGTAATTTGGATTTGGGAAATCAAGAAGCTACCATGTGAGAGCACTCCAGAAGAAAACACAGTAGCAATCATGAAGAGCTAGGTTTTAGTTAAAGAAAAATGAAGAAAACCATCTAAAAAGAGTTTGAAATTTTGGAGTATTTTGCTGCTGCCTTCCAAAGCAGCTAGGAAGGCTGTCGAGACTTTTGCCGGGCGGGAGATGGGGATGCGCCAAGCAGTATGGGATTCGAGTGCGGGCGGTGAGTGATGACCTGAGCTTCTTGTGGAGATGTGGTCTCAAAGCAGGACGTCGTGGCAGCTGGGAGTACTGGCATGAAGGGAACAGGGGGCAGGGGAGCTACCAGAAGCTGGAGGAGCCCACGGCTCACCTCTCCATTCCTATGACTATTTCTAAGCAGTAGTGAACCCTCTGTTTCTTTAACCAAAGGCATTACAAGTGAACCCGGTGTGGAAGACAGAGCAAAGCGGAGCTTCTCTGGTTAAAGCCAGAGTTGGGGAGGAGGGCAGTGCCTCCCCCCAGGACCCTGGGGGCTTCCTCAGTACTTCTGTACTTCTGGGGTTCTTCAGGGGCCCTCAAAACTCAGGTCATAGTCACCGTTCCAGCGCCAGCAAGAGACTTGAGAAAAATGTGGAGTGATGTATTTGAAAGTAAAGATGGTTTACCCAATAATCATGGAGGTCTTCTTAGATCTTGTCAATTGTGCAGATCGCTCTTTTTCTTCCATGTAATAAACTTTCAAATAAACAAGTGGTTTGCAATATCCCTTGGGATCTCTTAATGTCACTTATGATCAGGATTATATCATTGTTATTAATTGATGTGATTTAAGTAGAAGAAACCATAGTTTTCAACAGTCACGGGTTAGGTCGGATTCTCCAGAAACAAACCATGAGGCCAAGATTTGAATGCAAGAGGTTTTTTTTTTTTTGTTTTTGGAAGCATTCATAGCAGAGAGAACCTTACAGGTTGGTGGAGCATGCTGGACAGAAAATGAGAAGTCCAGTAAGTGTGGACATGCAGGTGACACCTCAAGGAGATAGCTTCAGCCTCATCCCGCAGGGGACGTCTGGAGAGTAGCAGCTCGGATTCTGACCCCAATTGGATACAAAGCATATTTCCACACCCGTGAGACAAGGCTGAGGTGGGGGGAGGTTGTGGGGCAGGGGAGCTGTGAACCCCTAGGCATTTCCAGGAAGGGTCCAGGAGTCTGAGACCCACCTTTCAAGGAAAAAGTAGCAATTATGGGTCCTTGAAAGGGAAGTACTAAGAGCACACTCACACACACACACACACACACAAACACACACACACACACACACACGCACACACACAGTGGATCCAAGACCAACTTCGGGCAGCCCAACAGTGCCTTCTATAAGAGGAAAGCTTTCTTTAGAATGGCATAGATATGCCTACATAAAGATTAGATTAAAAAATTAATGTCCGCCTTCGGTTATCATCAGTGATAATTAATGATAATTGATCATTATTGTCCTACTTTGTAGCAGTATGAATTTTGCTACCTTCCCTCTTGCGCTTCTAGTGAGATCATACTACTATACACATACGGCCAAATTTTGAGAAAATCCAGGTCAAGAGAGTATGACTCTCTGATCAGATATATCCAAGCATGGCCCTGACTGAATGTGCTGTCTGTATTTGGAAACAAAATGCATGTTTTCAAACTCCACTGTTTTAGATGGATTCCATTCTGTTTCTCACTACAGTAGTGTAAATACAAGAACGTTTTGCCATTTCAAAATTCATATCACTACAAATAGTTGCTCTTATCTACATCCTCAGACGTTTATTTCAGGGTTGTTGTTGGGTTTTGTTTTTCCCTTTAAATTGTGGTCCTTCTTCTAAGGATTAGAGGAGCATTATTTTAGAGTCCCTATGATGGACGTAATTTAGAGCTGTACCACGTCAAACCCACTGACAGATTTAGAGATTAACTTTCAGACCTCTTGCAGTGCCGAGAAACTCCTTAAGATTTTGAAAATGGCAACACTATTGACACTCTACTGCTAAAGATTACTTGGATCCATTATCCCATCACTATAAAAGGAAAGTTTAAGTGTGGCAAATATCAATGTTGTTTTGCTTTATGGAAAAACCTGTGCATAGAAAAAAAAGATGAAGCAACAGCACTTTGTAGAACAAGAAATAATTTATCCTCCATAAGGAAAGCTTATATAGCTATATCTCCCACCTTTCGATCTGGAAGGATAACATTGCTGTTGCAAAATTGATGTTATTTACATGGAAAAACAAGTTCAGTAGTTTTGAACAGTCATGTATTAGGTCAGGCTTCCCAGAAGCAAACCATGAGTCAAAGGTTTGATGCTAGTGATTCACCAAAAGAAAGCTTTGAGTATGGTGTATATGCTATTTGGATTATATTGAAAGTTGATACAAAACCTTTTTTTTTCTCCAAGTATTCTGGCTTAAGTGTGTCTCCAAATATGTGTTTGCTACATTTTAATGTAAGTGCATTTTGGGGGAAATTTAATCCATATGTTTCAGCAAGGTTACACGTAAATCATCCAAATGTGGATTTATTAGAGCTACATGATGTCTAAGATGCCTGTTGAGCTTTTTTTTAACGGTCTTTACATTCTTTTGTGAAAAGCAGCGAGTAAGTTGCAAAGAGTAAACAAATCGAATAGCAAAAGGTTTGAGTTGAGTTTTGAAATGCTTAGCTCAGTATTTCTGATTGGGTTCTGAACTTGGCAGTGCGCATTCCCTGTTCTGAACTTGGCAGTGCGCATTCCCTGTTCCTGACCGAAGTGAAAACATTTTGAACACTGTATTTCCCAATTGGTTCATTGACATTTGAGAATAATGGAGTACAGACAGAATCAGCCTGTTTGGCAGGTGAGTGATACTTAACATGACCTCAGAAAGTTACTTCCTCTTGGTTTGCAGAAACTCAGAGCATGAAGCAATGTTATACAAATTACAAAGCTCAAGTTAGGACAGCCATGGAAGGATCCATACTGGGGATTTACCTAATTCTCTTGCGCATCTTTAGGTGGAATGGTTGAAAAATGAAGACATAATTGATCCCGTTGAAGATCGGAATTTTTATATTACCATTGATCACAACCTCATCATAAAGCAGGCCCGCCTCTCAGATACTGCAAACTATACTTGTGTTGCCAAAAACATTGTTGCCAAGAGGAAAAGCACGACTGCAACTGTCATAGTCTACGGTGAGTGAGCTGTGAGTGAGCTGTCCGAGTCTCAATCTAGTTCATGTCAAACTACCGTTTCTCATTTTAATTTAAAACATCCAAGAGAGGCCCCTTGGCAATCATCGCCACTCTCTCCCAGCTTCAGGCTCCCACAGTGAGGTTTACCTGCTTCCCCGATACTCATAGAAAGACTAGACTTGGAAATTCCTAGCCCTTGTCAGTGAGCCGATGGGGAAGATGAAGGAAGTCTTCCTGAGTGCCTGCACCAGAGCGAGCAGATGTCCCTGCCTCTCTAAGCCCTCCCCTCTCCATACCCCAGACCACCCAGAGCCCGAGTGAGTTTGGAGATGGAGATGCTTGAGTCAGCATGCTCATACTTCTGTGGGCCCTGGCTCAGTCAGGTAAATGAGCTGACCTGTTCCCCAAACACATCAGAGCAACATTGACTTCCTAGAATTTGCTTCACACTCTCCCTCAGGGAGACTTAGAGTGAAGGCAAGCACTGCTATCCCCGTGGCCCTCATCCTAACCACATGGCAAGGATCAACGTGATGATTTCTTCCGGAAGCTTCTCTTCCACTTTCTGGTCCTTTCTAGTCCAGCTCATCTCTGACAGGGCCTATCCTTTCTCCAGAAACACTCAACAGTTCCGCTCCCAATTTTGCTGTAGCATGGGATGCTTTTATTTCTCTGCTAGTTTTAGCGCTCAGTTGTCTTCCAGGCATTCTATGGGTAGTTTCATTTCCCCAGCTGTGCGGTAAGCTCCGTTATAGATGAAGAGACTGCTCTGTGCATTTCTCACAGTGTTGGACATACAGAAGGCCCTCATATTCTTGATGATTTCTTGTATCAGAGGTAACCTAACAACCTGGGAAGTATTTTGAGGGTGTGACCCTCTTACCTGAGATGCCTGTGTCACACCACCGGCTTAGAACTTAAGGAAGTTCCTCCTGGCTGCGTTAGTGACAAAGGCCATTCCAGGGGCCTTCAGGTCTGGGTGATTAGGAAGGAGGGGTTGCTATTGGCAAGTATCTGGCTCGTGGTACTTAACACAGATAGTGCCCTTCGGATGGAGGTCCTTGTGCTGTAAGGAGTTATGAGAAACAGGAGCCACTGTGATGTTCCGAAGGCTGAGTATGGGGATGCTTTAAATCTCTCGTTTTCATTACAAGACAGATACAGACTATATTTTTAATCCTCTGAGTACTCTGAGGCTGAATTTCCTCGTCAAGATAATGGCTCCGTTAAATTGTAAGCAGTTTCCTCTCTCCAGTCACAATGAAATGATCCTCTTTTTGTCTTTTCCTAAAGTGGCTGAAGGGCTTGATTAACAGCATTTCAAGGACAAAAGAGAAACGGAGCCCATCACAGCACGTAGTAATCATAGATAACTAATGAAGACAGACTCTCTGCGTATGCATTATATACATGTTTAATATACATGCAAATCTCTTTTCCTATGTATTGCATGCTTTCAGTATCTATAAATACAAGCTGAACATTGTTTCTAGAAAGACTCAAACACAAGGAACTTGAGCATGTTGAGTTCAGAAAACAGCATCGGACTAGGGGTCAGGAGGCTTGTGCTCTAAGACTAGTTCTCCCACTAACTGACCTTCAGTGGGTCACTCGACCAGGATGCTGGGAGCCCATGTCTCCTTCTCTGTAGAATGAAAGAATAAGTCTGGGACTTTCGCATTCCTTCTTTTTTTCTCTAGAAGTTTATGATTATTCATTTCTCGTTAAAATCCTATCAGAGCAGTACATGTATACTATAACCCCCAATATTGGCCTGCCAGTATGCTAGTGAGCAGTTTATACTGACAATTCCATGACATCTGGTTTTGTAAAGCTGAGCAGGTTAAGTTGCTTTTTGGAACACTGACTGAAACTCACCCTATCAACCATCTGTTTGACCTTTTCATGGCCCCATAAAGTCAGTTGTCCAAGGCTCATAGATGAGGCTCACCAGAAGCCCACAGCAAAACATATACATCTAATGAGTATTTCGTTTTCGAGTCTGTTGTGTATATTTATTTTTGTTAGTATCCATTTGTGGATTGCAAATACATATCTGTTCTAGAAAATTAGGGAAACACAGAAAAGGTCAAAGAAGAAAATGCCCATAATCCTGTCATTTTGTCATCCAAAAATAGCTTTCGAAAAGGTTGCTATGCATGCTACTGGTATTTTCTATGCCTAGATAAGATTTTAAAATAAGGGGGTATAAATATATTTTTACTTTAAACATAATGATGAAATAGTCATATATTATTTTTTTTTTAATTTTTTTATTGTTATGTTAATCACCATATATTACATCAGAAATAGTCATATATTATTAAACAGACTTCTCTAACACCATTTCTAATGGCTGCCTATGTGTCAATCACATGAACAGGTATCTACTTTACCATTTTCCTATTGTTGAACATGACAGTTGTTTACAAGTATTTATCTTTATATAGAAAATAACTGCGATGCAAAAGCACTCTTGTCTGTGTCTGTATATATAACACATTCATGACGATTTCCCATTGTATAGGTTTCTAGAAGAGGAGATGTCGGGCATATGATGTGCACCTAGAAGGTGTGTGCTGCCCGAATGTCTAGCCCTCTTCTTTATGATCAGGAGGCAGACACTCATTCTCGTTGTGTCAGGTTTTAACTACCAGGAAATAATTTTTGTTAGCAAATGCTTAATTACAATAATTGACTCTCAACTCACATAATATAAGTATTAAAATATATCAGAGTATTTTCTAGAAGGAGATCTCCAGAAGTGAATAGTGAACATAGCATCAGAATGTAGGTTTTATAGTCATCCCTATACGGAACTCTCCGTCAAACACCATAGTGAGCCTTTACACACAGCATGGGTGTCCATTTCAATTACATGAACTAATTGCCAATTCAATCAAATAGCTACTCAATTAGTTTAAAATCTAGCAATATCAAAATTTTATTTTTTAACCAGGTTCACTGAGTTATTGAAACTGACTACAAGTCCTTAAAGGGTTGTAAAGTTTACATATGCTAAAGAAAACTAATCAGTCATCTGCTCTTAAGAAAAAGCTACATGATTTTATTCAGTTCTCATGCTTCAGATCCACCTGCAGCCTTGGCATAAGGATGTAAACATTTATTATTTCCAATAAGGTATCAAAAATAATTTTTGGAGCTTGACTAGGTAAGGGGAATATATATTTTTAAGAACACTAGCCAGGAAAATAGAACACAGTTCTATTTACTTTTCTGAGTAGGTGAGTAAATTTGATTAATTCATTTTATTTATCTCTATGCTTAGATTCTTCTGCTCTTTGATAATACTTTGAATGAAATGATGCTCCAGGTCTCTTCTAGCTTTGAAATTTTTGATTTTTTTATGGTCACTTAGCAGAGAGTTTTTGTTTATGTGTTGTGTGTAGTTTGTGTATGTGTGTGTGCACGAACACACATGTAATTCACATTTTGTATTTACCTCCTTCCAGTCAATGGTGGCTGGTCCACCTGGACAGAGTGGTCTGTGTGTAATAGCCGCTGTGGACGAGGATATCAGAAACGCACAAGGACCTGCACCAACCCAGCACCACTCAATGGTGGTGCCTTCTGTGAAGGGCAGAGTGTGCAGAAAATAGCATGTACCACCTTATGCCCAGGTAAAAAAAAACAGCGTTCTCATTCCAAACGTGTCCTCTCATTCTAGGAATATGTTTTAGGGGATGTACACAAAGACTTATTCTTGACCTGAATGTGTGATAGACATTATTTATATCCATCATACCATTCAGTGCTTACACTGCTGAGAAATCAAGTATTTTTCCCCAAACAGTACTTAAATTTATTACCCAAACACGCAAAATAGAATAAAACAGGAGATTAAACATATAGGGACATAATCGTTCTCTATTACTCAACAAAACTGCTGGAACCAAGATTATAGGTTCTGTAATTCAAGGGATTTAGGCAGCACTGAAAGCCACTCATTTTAGGAATACAACACTTGATCTTCAGACAGCCATGGAAATTATTGGAATTAAAATTTAGAAAATGTTTTAGACTGAAATATTTGATATTTGATGTCAGTTTCTGGGCAAGGGCAAATAAAACATTTGGAATGAATTAAAAAGAAGGCAAAGCTTTGTGACACATGGGCTAATGGATTTTGAAAATACAATACAGTCAGCTCTTTATTATCTGCACACGTTGGTCACCTATTTTTATTATTTGCAGTGGTACCTATAGCAAGATTGCATCCTGCGACTGAGCATCTTTTTCGCTGTCTCATATTGTTACCAGCTCTTACCCTAGGCAAATCGAAGGTGGTATTTGCCAAACTCAAAACCAACTAAAATGCTTAATTATATAATATATTAAAAAGTTAAGCTAAAATTATTTTGAAATAATACATAAATTTAGTGCATTCCATTGGGGTAGCTGTTACATTGTCAATTTCATTCTTTATTTGTATTTTATTTTTTTGTGATTTCGTTATTTAGAAAGTCTCCTTACTTCTCTTTATTTAGCTTACTTTTTGTCTTATCCATCCTTTAATAGATAGTTTATCAGAAATGGGTTATAAGAATGAACTGTAGAGAAAAATATAATCTATATTTTATATTCCTAAGTGTCCATTTTCAAATATCCAAACAGTATCCCTTTGGGAGATTTTGTTTGTGTAACAAATTTTGACACTTAGCTAGGTTTAGAATTTCAATATTTTACCTTATACTCTCCTATATTTTATCTAGATGTTGACTTCTACAATTAAAAATGCATTGAGCCTTTTGAGTCAAAATAAAAGTGTGTGTGTGTGTGTGTGTGTGTGTGTGTGTGTGTGTGTGTACTTTAGGATGATCTAGGTCAGAGCAAATGTCTTTTCTCCAAATAGCTGGGAGTTGCTTAAATAGCCAACTCTGGATGATTGAAATATTAATGCTTTCATCATTTTTTTCATATGGGCATGTTTATATCTCTATACACATTATACATAATATATTTACACAATAATTTGAATATGAAATCATATGGATTTCCTAAACTATGTAGACTATTAAAATGGATATAATTACTATGAATATATAAGTATAAGATGTTATATATAGTAGATGTTCAATAAATGATGTTTGATGTTGTTTTTTATTGAATTCTAGGTAATCATAATTATTTATGTATTTCAGGAAATTTTTTTAATTTAACTGCTTTTTAATATTCTTGTCCTATTTAAATAAGAATTTTTTAAGACTGCATTTTAAGTGTGACTTTAGTGAAATTTACTGTATTTTTTTCAACTTAGAATTTAAGTTGTGTGTTTTAAGATAGAGATATATCAGCTCAGTATCATTGCGATTACTAACAAACCAGCAACAAAAATTAGGGAGAAAGTTAGTCAATTCTAAATGACTGAATCACAGTAAAAAATTAGGAATGTGTGTAAATATTATTTGTAAAATAAAAATAGAAATATATATGTCATCAAATAATGGAATAGAATTATCAAATAATATATGGAAAATAACAGTCATTTCAACAAAGCATTGCAGAAGGTCTCAACAGAATCAAGCTGCCTGGATAAAAAAATAAAATGAAAAGAGTTTTAAGACATGGATGTTAGATAGATAGATAGATAGATAGATAGATAGATAGATAGATGATAGATATGGATGGATGGATGCATGGAAGGATGGGTCAGTGAGTGGATAGATAGACTTCCTCTCCATTATACCAACCTCTTCTCCATATCAACACACAAGTTTACTTGCACTGCCCACATGACACTATGCATGAAGAAATCTTGGATCTAAAAAGAGGTCCCCTAATTCTCAATGCAAAATCCAAAAGCTTCCCTTTTAACAGAAAAAAAAAAAAAAAGCTCCATCATGATCTACTTTTATGTACCTCCTGGTCCTCACCAGCTCCTGGTGACAACTTTGGTTTCTTTGTCTCCTTTGAAGCGATTCCTTGGCTTGGTCAGTAAGGACACAGTCACGACCCCAGGAAGAAAAGTTCACAGAACCCTAATGATGTATGTCGTGCATGCTCACTTCCCAGTAGCAGACATGAATGCAGTACTCCTTGATGGGACATTTTCTTCAGTTTTGTTTTATCTACACGTGAGCTCTACTCCCTTCTCCCCCCAAGTAGCTGATTCTTCCTCTGACCTTCTGCTGGTTTTTGTGTGTGTGTGCATGGCAGTGGATGGCAGGTGGACTTCATGGAGCAAGTGGTCTACTTGTGGGACCGAGTGCACACACTGGCGCAGGAGGGAGTGCACGGCGCCCGCCCCCAAGAACGGAGGCAAGGACTGTGATGGCCTCGTCTTGCAATCCAAGAACTGCACTGATGGGCTTTGCATGCAGAGTAAGTCAATTTGAACAAACAAAAGACAGGTGCGAGGCCTGAGGTTTAACCATTTGGATTTCTTGGAAATATTAAAATTAAGAATTCCGAACAAAAACAAAAAAAATGCAGTAATATGCCAGTATACTAGCTCTGTCTCAGAACTGAAAGAACTAATCCCCCAGGAACCAGAATGAATAATAACTGTCCAGTTAACAAATGACATACACAATATTGTGTTCTCTTGCGCAAAGAGTGATTTAGTCATATCCATGGGGAAACTGTCACTCTTTCCAGACCAAGGAACCATTCCTTAGTTTTATTTGAATTCATAAAAGGGCACGCTAAACTCCTCAGAGTAGAATCACATGACTTCGAAAAAGTAAGCTATTTATTCCTAATTCATGACCATTACCGAACCAATGTCCATGAATGTGAAATACATATAAAGCACAGGAAACGGTCCTGCAGATAGATTTACCAATTTACAGCAAATGCTTAGTGGGAGCATCTCCACAGGTCCTTGAAAATGCTAGGTTTGTGTTAATATTTGTTTAAAGGAAATAATATTAATAAAACAAAAATTTTAAAACTGGGTATAGAAGATTGGCTCGGGAATATAATGGGTGAGTAGGCTAAATATTCCCCATTTTTCATGACTTCATTTCTTAACTTTTCTTAATGAGATGGTAGTTTGATTTCCATACTTGCAAACTCTTACCACTTTGAGGAGCCCTAAAATATACAAAATTTACCATCTTACATGACCATGAATTAAGGTAGTAAAAATTGTTCTGGTATCACACCTATAGAGATGAATGGATGCTATCTTTGGATCTTAACTAAGAGCCACCAGATGTTGACATTAATTATAACATATTAACATTGCTTGCAGAACACAAGGAACCACATATATTTGTGTAGAAGTATTTATATTTATCATTTAAGAATAAAATATTTCACTTTCACCACATTTATGAAATTCTGTTTCCCTTCCAGTGTCTATACACACAAGGCCCTTGAAAAAGAAACCCTTACTTAAAATACAAATAAGTAATGACGTTGCTGACACAGAATAAAAATCCTACAGGCTTATTTTTCTGTCCACAGTATGTTGCTTTCTTTGAGAATTGGCAGCTACTGAGTGTAAAGCACAGCTTCTGGTTATGAGTTTCAGACTGCTACTGTGTATCTCACCAAGTTCCTATTAGAAATGCAAGAATGAAAAGAATATAGCTGTTTTCCTAACCATTAATCCAGAGATACAGGGTTAGTTCCTCTAAGCATGAGATTGAGTTGAAGATTAAAATAAAAACAGCACACACCAAGTTATTCTTTTTTTTAACATTTTTATAATTTAATATTCTTCCTTTAGTGGAGAACAAATTGATTCATATGATCAAAAAGTAACAATATTTGAAGTCTCTCTCTCCCACCCACCCCCCGTCCCTCATCTCTCTCCCTCTCTCCCTCTCTCAATACTGTATTTCAACTTTGGGTGATTTAACAACTACAGCTTCTATTGTGCATATTTTAAAATTCCCAAAGCAACCTATTTAACAAAAAATACAATGCTGCAAGATGGAACTTTGGGCCTTTAATTGGTTACACAAAATGACATCTACTAAATTATGACATTTGTCAAATACAAACATGACATATTCAAATTAAGACTTTCATGACATAGCATCCCCTTAGCATCTAGCTTGTTTCTTATGACACTAATAGAATTTTTTTTAATGTATGGATATTTGTCAGTAATGATGGCATGAAGTGGTTGTATAAATCAGAATTTTTTTTAATGTATGGATATTTGTCAGTAATGATGACATGAAGTGGTTGTATAAATCAGGAAGGCTACAAGAGAGGGTTTTGTTGTTTTCTTTTGTTTATTTTTTATCAAGTCTCTTGTTAGACTGAAACATTTGAGTGTTTGGATTAAAATCAGTCAGTTAAAAAGCTATTTCCTTTACAATTCTGATTTGCTATGTAACAGCCCTACTAAGTCAATGAACTCTTTCATCTGTCCTCCTATATCTACTCTAGAGCAACAGAAAATTGTAGTCTGTGCTATTGATTTCCTCAGTGATGAAAACCACAGAGATAGTGCTGCGCTGTGTAATGATAGTATTTTACAGTGAAAGCTATAGTTTCTACTTACCAGTAGGCTGGGTATTTCTGGCATAGCATTGCACCAAAGTCTTGAAAAGAAATAATACCTGCTCTTGGTCCATATTTTGGAAAACAAAGTCTTTCTAATAGTGAAAGTACCCAGCTTGCAAGAAGGATGAGGTCTATATTAAGAAATAGATTGGTGGTAAAAAGGACAGCCAGAAAGTTGCAATTGACAATTAGGAATTATCATTTAATATTTATTTACTTTAGGAGAATTAGTGTCTTTGAGGCATTAATAGTCTTTCATCAACATTGCAATGTTTATCTCAAAATAAAGCTAGTTACCATTGAACAGAGTATGCTATACCTCTGAAATTGTATTCCTAGTTGAAATTGTATACAAATGACTCTGATATAAATGTAGACATGCTGCTAGGTAGGAGAAATTCAAAGTTTATAATAGAGGTCAGTAGAATTCAGAAACCTAGACAATGTAGTGTAGTATATTTTAAAGGCAAATTGATACTTAAGAGCAATACAATGTGAAATATGTAGAGCATATTACTGTCAATTCTTATTCAGTAATGTGTTCAAAACAGTCATATTCAGTCACATTCCTTCCTTAACCACCTCCCTCAATACAAATAACTGACTCAAAATATGCAGAAATATAGGGTAAAATATTAAAACAAAAAATATACATACACACATGTATGGAGTGTATGTATATGTGTGTCTGAGAAATAATGAGTCAAGTTTGAAAGATAGAGAAATCCTCAAATCATCAAAATAAAATAGAAACTCAAAACTAGAGAGGTAACTGCATGAGTGGATACCAGAATAATCCAGAGGGGCATTGACCATGGATATAGATCCTAGGGATTGGGAGTTAGAGGTGTTGTTTTGGCACAGAGGCCTAGGCCCAGAATTTGCACAAGCCTGAGGCCGAGAGTTGAAATCTAGAGCCCTTGGAATAAAGCCGGGTCTCATAAGTGGCTGCTCCCACTTATGAGACCATCTAGAAAATTTTTACCCGCCAGCCCAGGGAAGCCACAGGAAAATTCATGACAGAGAAAATAAAAATGAAATCTTCACTTAAATAAAACCTATAGTAAAACCACAGTCCTACACCCAGATCTGCTCTGGAGTCTAAGATACAGTACTAAAGGAATAAAAAAAACGAAAGATATGTAATTAACATAGTTGCTGAAACTTCTAGGGTACCAGCAGAAGCAAACAACAAGCCATTCTCTTGAGTTCTTTCCACAACCCAAGTGCATTGGTCTCGAACAAAAATAGCCCACTCTTGGAAATGAGATTACAATACGCAGTTTCACATCACCCAAGGGAACAGTCTAATGCAAGAGAGAGTGCACAGCACAGTTAGTGAGTTACTTAGCACTCTCATAACATGGACTCAGAGCAATCTGAGTGAGAATATAAAGTAAATAAAAGTAAAAAGACAAACTGTATTTTTAAAAGACATATAAGCACAAATGCAAGAGTAGAATATGTAAAAAGGAGAGACAGATTTGGGGAAAAATCAAACGAATGCCTAGAAAGGTAAACAATTGAAAGTTAAAACTCAGTGGGAGGTTAAAGATCAAATCAGAGACAACTTTGGATACAGCTGAAGGGAAAATTAGTCAACTGGAATGTAAATCCTGTGAAACTCCTCAGACTACAGAGAAGAAAGATAAAGTAAGTGATTATATAAAAGGGAGGTTAAAACACATGTAGAAGAGAATGAGAATACCCAAGTTTGCTCAACAGAGCAAAATTTAAAAGATTTTCAGACGATTGAAATGGAGAGGGCTTACAATTCACAAACTATCACTGAGTAAACTACTAAAAATATAAAATAAAAATTGATTCTTTAAAAAAAAGAGAGAGACCAATGAAGAGGCAGGAAATACAGATGGAAGTAAATTATTGACAGCCTTAACATGAAATATGGGAAAGTGTGATCTGAGTTAAATTTTTCTAATTTCTGTATAGTGTTCAGTAAAAAAAAAACACTATTTGCATTCAATCCCATTGATTCAAGTTTACCAATTAAAATAGTAAGCCTAACTACACACATAAAAGGTGGGTGTATAAATTCAAAATAAGATTTTTAAGGGCAGGAAAGGAACAACAACAAAAAAAAAACCATAGTAAATGAAAACAATAATTTAATTAAGATGGTACAGACAAAGGATCATCATATGTCATGGGTAATAATGTAAATGAATTAAATTTACCTGTTAAAGGAGGTTCAAAATTGAAAATTGTAATAAAAAAATCCCGTTTGATACTGTTTAGGAGAGACAGACTTAAATCCATAATTATAGAGAAAGATTGAAAGCTAGAAAGTGGAACTTAACAGTATAGTGAAAACTTTATTTTAAAATAGCTTTGACTATCTAATTAGGCCATTATTAATTCAACTTCATCTCCCGTTACGCCTAAGTAACACATACCAGAGATTGGTTTTGCTCATAGTTTTAATTTAGGTGTTTGTTTTTCTTAGACTCTATGGTTTTTAGAATATTTAATTTTCTACAGAGTAAGTAATCAAAAATTTTCTAAATTGTTTACCACACTCCCAGTTTTGTGTTTCAAACACTTCAGAAAATACGTGGTTCCCCAATGTCAAATGAAATTTTTCATCAAACTCTTCAAGGGTTTCTTACAAGATGATTGGATATTTTACAGGTATAATAATGCTAAATGTTAATAAATGTGCAAAGTGAAGTCTCTTGTATTTTTTCTAATGGGAATGCAACTTTTTACAATTATTTGGGGAAGCAATTTGACAATATTAGTTAAGAGCTTCAAAATTGTTTATACCCATTGGTCCAGTAATCCTACTTTAATGAATAAATTTTAAGAAATTAATCTAAATACCTGAGAAGATATATGCC